CGACCCAATAATTGGAAGCCAATATGGCGGCATGAAACCTGTCAGAATCCCAACGGCCAATCACAACCGTGCAATTCTCTATGATTGTGCTTTGTTTACATCACTTGCCAATGACTTAACTGGTCAAGTTCGTATTATGACATTGCGCAAATTTTGAATTTCGAAATGTATCAGGGTTCAGACGTTTAATTGCTCTAAAGTGGATTAATGAGACGAAGAATATGATAAGCAATTAAACTTTTAAATATAATAAATAGCGATCTCGCGATTTCTTCATTTCAATGTATCATTTTTGAAATTACGATATTTTGTGGAGCTAGTTATATTCTAGTCAATTATGTCTTTATTCCTCTTCTTATCCAAATATTTGTCTTCATACGTCGTCATCGGTGTATTTTCAATAAATAAATCAATATCATCTTTCATTATTTTTTCTTGGAATAGGGTTTTCACTTAGAATAGACCACAGTCCTTGTTGATCAGGGACATTATGGCTTTCTTACTAGAAACTTCACAACTGTAAAACAATTATTCAAATCAGTTCAGAAGTTTCTTAGCCTGTACAATGCAAAGGAACAAACCAATGAATCTGTCTTCTTTATACTATAAATATATTAAATTTAGTAATTTTACGATTTCATTTTTTTGTTTTTATTTAATTACCTCTAATTAGCTATAGCCATACCCCTATGGATGCCTAACTTTTTGGAAAAAAAATTAAAATGCGGTTACAGGACACCAACATCTATTCAAGCCTTTACACCCATTCTAGTAAACAACTATAGATAACAGGTTACTAGGTTCAGAAATTCAGAATTCACCAGGTGGCTCTTACCATTACATAAATTAGACTGGGAGAAATTTATAAGAGTAAGATCTTATTGTCTGGAACAGTGACTAACTATATCTTTGTTAAGTTGGAAACAGAGCAATGTGTTGATGTAACATTGAGTCAAAGTCGTAGCATTTTAACGGTTAATAAAAAGAGAATTAATAAAATGATAATTTCAGTCTTTTACTTCTGTATATAACAAATACTTGTATGGCACTTTTGAACAGGATAGATACCACATATGCGTCCTGGGAAACAAATCTCAAAAACATTGATTTTTGAGATTTGTGACATAGCGCATAGCGCATAACGCATAGCACATAGAACATAGCGCATAACGCATATCGCTTATCGAAATCTCGAAAGTCGAAACTCGAAAATCGCATATCACGTTATGCAAATAGCGCAAAGCGCATAGTGCATAGCGCATAGCGCATAGCGCATAGCGCATAACGCATATCGCTTATCGAAAACTCGAAAGTCAAAACTCGAAAATCGCATATCGCGTTATGCTAATAGCGCATAGCGCATAATGCATAGCGCAAAGCGCATAACGCATAACGCATATCGCGTTATGCAAATAGCACATAGCGCATAGTGCATAGCGCATAGCGCATAACGCATATCGCTTATCGAAAACTCGAAAACGAAACTCGAAAATCTCATATCGCGTTATGCAAATAGCGCACAGCGCATAGTGCATAGCGCATAGCACATAGCGCATAACGCATATCGCTTATCGAAAATTCGAAAGTCAAAACTCGAAATTCGCGTTATGCAAATAGCGCATAGCGCATAGTGTATAGCGCATAGCGCATAGCGCATAACGCATAACGCATAACACATATCGCGTTATGCAAATAGCATATAGCGCAAAGTGCATAGCGCATAGCGCATAACGCATATCGCTTATCGAAAAATCGAA